CATTGGGCCGCCAGAAGGAATTTTTTTTACCTTACAGCATGCCATTAATTAGACAACCTCAATATTGTAAGAAGTATGCCATGCTAACAAGGGCAAAACGGTCATTTGGTTTTTTATAACGTATGTTTGAGTTTGTACAAAGAACTAACTTCATATTTGTTGGTAGAATTTTAGTTTGTGTTTGATGACATTTCTCATTGTTGGGTACACAAAACCAAAAAATACTAAGAGTGTGCTTTAGTTTAAGAGTAATGTTAGATGAACTTAAAATTTAGATTTGATAATTTCAACTATTGAATAGGTAATGGGTCCCNGTAACCATGTGCAGGCAGGTTAAACAATTACTAAATAGCAAAAAAGAAAAAAAAATCATCTTCTAATCAACCTTAGTGCAGCTGGTTTCACTCTGGTACAAAAAAAATTATTTTTTGACATCGATTTTAGTTTGAGTTATGTGTAGTCCTTGATTGCACAAATANAAAAATCATCTTCTAATCAACCTTAGTGCAGCTGGTTTCACTCTGGTACAAAAAAATTATTTTTTGACATCGATTTTAGTTTGAGTTATGTGTAGTCCTTGATTGCACAAACANTCAATGAGATTATCAAGTTTAGTTTTTAAGTTTATGTAGCATTGCTCTTTTTTTTTGTATTGGCTAACATTAGGGGTGACAATAGAGTCGAATCTTNAAATAATAAAATAGTCTGAAAAAAACACTGTAAAGAGGTTCTACACATGCAGATCACTATCTCATTTGCCAAAAAACCAAGATATGATATTGTTAGTCTACACAAAAGATTTATCTCATAATCAATAGACTTAATTTTTTTTTTTACAAAAAGATGTCGGTGACTGTTTGATGTTGGGTTTAATTGTTTTATCTTAGAACTTTCTTGAATGAACACAATCGATGNTCGTATTGAGTTGCGAATGACCTATTTATTTTCGTATCGAGTTCAAATCATATCATTGTGTTGAGTCGAATGATGGAAAAAATATTTTTTATAACTTAATTTTTTTTTAAAATTAATTTTTAAAATTTTTTAATANAAAAAAACTTTTATTAATTTGGAAAGCTTTGGGTTACAAGAGACTGTTGAACAGTCTCTAAGACTAATCCTAATTTTAATTCTAGCCTAAAACTACTTCTAAAATGTCAAAGTCGTGAATCTTTGATAGGTTTGATCATNGAGACTGTTGAACAGTCTCTAAGACTAATCCTAATTTTAATTCTAGCCTAAAACTATTTCTAAAATGTCCAAGTCGTGAATCTTTGATAGGTTTGATCGTNTAATGTATACATAAGATATATAGACAAATAAGATATATTTCAACACAAATAATTAACTTTCTATCCACTTTCCTTCCGATTTTGAAGGGATTGATTTTAGTGAGTTGGAAGGAAAGTTAATTCATCAACTTTTTCATCCATCCTACTTTCCCTCCTTACCAAACATGATGTTTTATTTATCCCTCTAACTTTCCATCCTTCTAAATTTTTATCCTCCAACTTTTCTATAGTACCAAACGGAGGAGCATAAATCTGTTTTGATATTTAGGAAGAATGTACACTCATCTATTTTGTTTATAAGATTAGGCGGTTCCCATGGCAACAATAATACCCGAGATATTAGGCGGTTTTTGGGAGAGAAATCTGCCTCATTGATCTGGGCTGCGACTGCGACGTTTGGTTCCACCCTTGAGCCACAACAGACACTGACTGCTCTGCGCTGCATATTCATGCTCACTGGGTGCTTGAGTCAATCTCAGATGTTCCATTTCTCTCAAGGGCATTTCTTTGTGACCGTAAACGCAAGATTAGACATGGAGCATCAAAATTTATGTTAGTCTTGGTCTTGTTCTTGTCTCATTTCTCATTTCAATGCTATGAGTATTTGTGCTGCAACTTCTGCTAAATCACCGTTGCCACGAATATTATATCCCCCAAGAAATGCGCCCCAAATCACTGAATCAGGCTTCATAGTCATGTTCTTAACAACAATGTATGCCTCATTTCTTATATCTATAGTGTTTTAACATGAGGTTCACATTATATCACCCCTCAAATTGAAGAACTCTAGTCCTTTCTCATCAACTCCTACATGAACACACGAAGAAAGAACTCATAGAAAGCTCAGTCGTCTGCCTCCTATTCTCGATTGTTGGTAACCATGTGCAGGCAGGTTAAACAATTACTAAATAGCAAAAAAGAAAAAAAAATCATCTTCTAATCAACCTTAGTGCAGCTGGTTTCACTCTGGTACAAAAAAATTATTTTTTGACATCGATTTTAGTTTGAGTTATGTGTAGTCCTTGATTGCACAAACAATAAAATAGTCTGAAAAAAACACTGTAAAGAGGTTCTACACATGCAGATCACTATCTCATTTGCCAAAAAACCAAGATATGATATTGTTAGTCTACACAAAAGATTTATCTCATAATTGATAGACTTAATTTTTTTTTTTACAAAAAGATGTCGGTGACTGTTTGATGTTGGGTTTAATTGTTTTATCTTAGAACTTTCTTGAATGAACACAATCGATGGAAATAAAGCAAGTAAAAATGAAAGCAAAACGATTAATAAAAGGGAAAAAAAAACTTTTATTAATTTGGAAAGCTTTGGGTTACAAGAGACTGTTGAACAGTCTCTAAGACTAATCCTAATTTTAATTCTAGCCTAAAACTATTTCTAAAATGTCCAAGTCGTGAATCTTTGATAGGTTTGATCGTATTGTCTCCTTGTAATTAATGCCCCTTTTATAGGCATCTTTACCTCGATGATTAATCTAGTTTTCTCCAGACGGTTTCTTCCTCAGCCTCTTCTTTGTCTCAACTGCTATTTTTAAATTATTGGAGCACATTTGGTGCTGGTAATTACTGCATTTGCAAATTTTAAGATAAACATTTCATTCCTTCTGTTTTAGAGGCTATAACTATTCTTAAATCTAAACATACCACTTTGACTATGTCATTCATCACTTTTTCCATAAAAATGTAGAATTTGGTCCAAACAAATACCCAAGAATTTTCAATATAGTAGTGCTAGCTTAACGGAATTGTTCAGGGCCTGAATTTCATTAGTGTTTTTTTTTTGTTGGTTTTAAATTTGTTCATGCAATCGTAACAGAAAGCAAAATTTATTTACATCAATGTATTCAGGCAATGTCATCTTGAAATGGTTGTTCTAGTGAGAGTGACATTCTAGGTTTCCATTTTTGCGAAGAACAAACAAGGAGTTTATCACAGAAATCAATGCTATTAGATCAGACCTTTCATCAATTTAGTGTGAATAAGCATTGTCTAAGATGATTTGTCACCATAGTTAGGCCACTTTCCCTTGATTACCTAATTGCTAGTCATCTTGATCATCGTGGACAAATACTCCATGCATGTGTTAATTTATTAAACCTGTAAATGTCTATATGTAATGATGTTAACTGCTTATCTGTCCAAACAACTACTCATTAATCTCTTAAGATAAAAATAAGTTCATCCTAATCATCTTTATCGTGGAGAAATATTCCATGCATGTTACAATTTATTGAACTTCTGGATGTAGATAAGCAAATAAAGATAAATTATTAGTCTACCATTTATCTCTTCTATGCTTCGTTATAGACAAGAATTTTATGGATTGACTACGATCATGTAAGGAAAGAATGAAACTTGCTATAGAGCTTGAGCAGTCAACCGAATTGTTCAACTCACATAATACAATGATCATTCCTATAAAGCCATGGTTCTTTGTAGGATTGACAAGGGTAACCACCAAAACGGGCAGGGAAGATATCCATGGTTTGATTTGGTGAGAACGACAATCGAAGAGGTCAACGTCACAATACCTCTGAAGGGTTTCAATCCTACTGCTCAATTAACCTTTTATAGCAACCTCTAAGCTGTGGACTGTCTAAACCAAAACGGTAACTTGACAAAACTTTAGGCCTACTGGTGAAGACTCTCATGAAGGTGATGACTCGAAGAAATTGCTGTATTTCGAAGGCATAAATAGCTGAAAGTTCTGGCACAGAAAATACTATTTTGTAGGGTATTAATGGTTTTGTATGATATAACTGAAGAAATTGTTGTATTTTTTGTGCTCTTTTCTGAATTTTCGGATTAATGTGACCCTAGTTTGATCCGAAACAAAGTAGCCTTTCTGCTTTTGGCGCTAAGATTAGTTAAATTAGAAACACATCATGATCTAAGTCCAATGTCAAGATGAGTTAAGTTTCAAATATAATGGTGCATTAATTTGACCACTGACAGCCTCATTTATAAACTTGGATACTAGGACTTGAATATTTTTTAAAATCTCATCCACAGATTCAGAAGAGCAGAATTAAAAGATTCAAAACAGATATATATATGAAGTAGATCATGACATATAAGTTTGGCAAGAAAGGGGCCACCACTATTTTTGGGTGGTGTGCCTATATCTACCACTATAAAAAACCCTAGTGGTTAACACTATATCGTATAGGCTGGACTATCAACAATAATATAATAAACAGAGGGCCTCTACTAGATGACTTACTGATGAGTGGAGTTGATAATTCTTCGACACAGTTGCCGAGGGGAATGTTTGTGGGTCCCACTCTTAACTAAAGAAGGGAATGCCAGTCATGCTAGCTTTTCTATGTCTTGATATGTGATAGAGAAACGAATGTGAAATGGAAGTAAAAGTAATGATCATTCATGGAAATGGGAAACAAGGTGATGAATGGGTACGAAGAACTGAGTGGACATAAAAAGATTATATGTAAATTCTGCAGCTTGAGTGGTCTACCATGTGATGTGAAGATATTGATCATGGGTCATACCTAGTTGTCTCCTGTACTGTTATTCTTCTCCAGATCCTAGTTAGTTGCTTCCTGAAGGTGCTTTAATGGTTGGAAGAATCTCAAGAGACACACTTGACGCTGACAATCCTGACCTGTTTGCCAAATGTAAAGAAAGAAAAAGAGAAAAGAAGCTTGCTGGAAAGTATTGAGAACCACTAGTGCAATGAGATTAAATAAGAAGTTACCAATCAAGTGATCAACCCACATAAGATGGTCTCTGTAAAATTGAAACAAACATATATAGCAAAGCCTTTTTAGCTCCTCACAAGCTTCAAACATCTCACCAACTCTTGCACCTAAATCTAGGAGCTTTATTTATGGCAAAATCAACATGAATTAAGACTTGCAGAATTGAGAAAAAGAACATCTTTAAGACGTACAATAGACACAAAACCAAGGTCTTGATGGTGCAAGCACAAGTAGTTTAAGAGCCATCTATCTCCAGATCGAGCCCAATAGAAAGATAAAGGTTCTATCTGTTAGTGTTGATCAAAACTCAAACAAGTCTCCCCCAACCTGGAAGAAAAGAAAAAAACAACACCACCTTCTTCTGTTTTTTTTTTACTAGACATGCAATTACCATGACCCTCCACCTAATACTCCATTCCAGTAAGCATTAGACTCTCCTTGCTCTCTATTTTGCTCAATTAATTCAGTTGTGGCTGAAACGGGCTTCAAATCCTCAAAAGGAAAGAGAAGTCTTGCACTAGTCTCTGGAACCCCTTGCAGACTTCCAAAACCACTTTCAAACCCATCTAATGAAAAGTTAAGGCTTGGTTTAAATTCTGGCAAACCCAGGCCAGATGAGTATATTGTACTCGAATCAGAAACCGACATCGGCATGAAAGAATTCAGTCCTCTTGAAGTAATTCCAAGCTTGAGAAGTTCCATGGTAGAGAGATGAGATGATGTTGATGAAGTATTAGGGTTTATATTGTTGTTACTGTAGGGTAACCCAATGAATTCAGAGAGGCTATTGTAATCACCAGAGGGCGGGTAAGCTAGGTTGAGGTCTTGGCCCTCGCGGATCTTAGGGTTTTGAGAAGCAGACTGAGAAATTCTTGGTGGGGCCAGATCATGATCAGCAAGCTTCTTTGATGAAGCTGGTGATGATGATGAAGTAGATCTCTTGTTCTTCCTTGAGCTTCCTCCAACTGGGACATTTCTCAGAGTCCCACCTTCAGTCCAGTACCTTCTACAAGTCTTGCAGAAGTATCTTGGCTGAGAGAGACTGTAATTGTTGTAGTAACAGAACTTGGTATGAGTTGAATTGCACCGCGGACAGTTCACAGCTTGTTCTTTTTGTGGCCTCGGCTTCCTCTCTACCATAGGCCTTGAGCCTTCCACTGGTTTCATCACTCCAATCCCCTGGGAAAAAAAGGAGGAAAGGAAGACCACAGAAAGACAAGAAAAAGGCCATGACTACATAGTCGAAACAAAGAATTTCTCATCCAAAGAATTTGTATTTGGATATAGAAAGAAAGCAGTAGCAGGCAAACAAGACAGAGATAACTAGGTAATTGCTTTACAGTTTGAAGATTACAACCAGCAATAAAACAAACTATATTAGCTTTTTTCCGGTCCTTTATTAGATGATGGAAAAAGAAAGGAAAAAGTGCAGTACTTTCAAGAAAAAATGAAAAATTTCAGACCATAGTTACATAAATTCAAAGATTAGTGGGTGCTGAACATCATCATCTCCTAGAAAAGTAGTAACCTTTGAGAATTTACCCATCAACAAGAAAAAAAATTCAAAACAATAAAAAAAAAAGTTCTAAATTAGCCTTGAAAATCCCAACTAAAGGAAGAAGATATCATGATTTGCTCGAGAGAAAACTTGGTTTCTTTACCTGTGGCCACTGACCAGTATCCATAGATCGAGAGGCAGTAAAGGAAAAGCAAAAGCTACCGAGTCTTCAAAAGAGAGGAAAACAACCCACTTTCCTCCAACTGGTCCTAAAGCTAGAAAGACACTTGAGATGGTATGTTTGGTGGTGGTTCCATGTGTTGGTTTACTAAATGTGTGTGTGTGTGAGAGAGAGAGAGAGAAGGGTTCTTTTGTCTTCTTGACCGTATTTTAATGTCGTTATAATAGCACACTACTTTAAGAATGTTGCCTACAGTATATATATGTATATACATAGTCAATGTTATTCTTTGTGAGTGGAAATGTGATATGTAATGTGGACTTTATTGGATTCTTTTCTGACTATGAGATTGATGTGGTCAGGAGGATGATTCCTTTTCTTCTTGCAATCTCTTTTCATATTTGCCATTTCCTTTTGCATTTGCTCTCCTTCTTCACTCAACCAATTAAAACAGTACCCGAGTTTTGAATAATGAGACATTCCATATTATTTCTTGATTGGTATACAAATTAAGAAACAGTAAAGTAAAAAAAATAACACCACTCAATAAAATCTGATCTGAATAATCTTAATAAAGCTTAATTCATACCAAAAATTTTAGATAATCTGTGATCTCAAAACTACTCATTAAACCCAAAATCGAGATAACCAATACTATTAGGATATAATTTATTAACCACTGGGGTTAACTCATACCTGAAGACACAGTGCAATGTGAATGATTTTAAAAAGAATATTAGTGACCGTTTGATAAGTTTATTTAAAACAGTTAGATGAACTTATTGAAATCTATCCTGTTTTATATTATAGATAACTATTAGATTGACTGTGAATTTAATTAAATATAGAACTTGGTGTTTATTTAATGATAACAATGAAGTCATATCATTAAATCAACCGATTATGTNATTCTTTTCTGACTATGAGATTGATGTGGTCAGGAGGATGATTCCTTTTCTTCTTGCAATCTCTTTTCATATTTGCCATTTCCTTTTGCATTTGCTCTCCTTCTTCACTCAACCAATTAAAACAGTACCCGAGTTTTGAATAATGAGACATTCCATATTATTTTTTGATTGGTATACAAATTAAGAAACAGTAAAGTAAAAAAAATAACACCACTCAATAAAATCTGATCTGAATAATCTTAATAAAGCTTAATTCATACCAAAAATTTTAGATAATCTGTGATCTCAAAACTACTCATTAAACCCAAAATCGAGATAAGCAATACTATTAGGATATAATTTATTAACCACTGGGGGTAACTCATACCTGAAGACATAGTACAATGTGAATGATTTTAAAAAGAATATTAGTGACCGTTTGATGAGTTTATTTAAAACAGTTAGATGAACTTATTGAAATCTACCCTGTTTTATATTATAGATAACTATTAGATTGACTGTGGGTTTAATTAAATATAGAACTTGGTGTTTATTTAATGATAACAATGAAGTCATATCATTAAATCAACCGATTATATCAGATTTTCAAGTCTCAATAGCATTACTCAATCGAGATTGCACCATTATGTGGTCAAATTATTCCGGAACCACTTGTGGAAGATTGCACGTTTAAGGGGTGCTCAAAATGGGTGTCATTGCTAAGCACTTTCATGAGTGGAGAGAAAACTTGATAAAGTGAAGTCTAATTTAATTGGCTAAACAAAATCGTATGTTTTTTTTTTCTCCTTTTGTAAGTTTTATTTCCTTTTTTTCCCTTAGTAATCTTCTTCCCCTTTTGTAAATGGTGATGTGAGTGTGGTAGGTTTTCCATTTTTGCACTTCAGTGGTTGTTAAAGCTTGACCTGATCAGTTGCATGACCTGTGAATGAAATTACTTGTCAAGAAAGTAATCTAACCATGAAAATACAAGAGAAAGTGGATCCCATCGAGGAATGCTGACTAAGTAAATAGAACCACAAAGAAAATGAAAGAGGGCTGAAGTGAGAGGGACAAAAGAAACTGGAGATGGGAGGCCAGTTAATGGGCTTTGTGAGATGGAAATTAATTCCTCCNATATATATATATCATTTTTTAGATGAATGAATCGTATCAATTTTTATAATTGAGTCTATTCATCTTAGACTTCCCTAAAAATTGATATACAATTAAATTTTAATTTTTAAATTGTATTCGGATTATATAGGGTTTTTCTTATTTTTTAGGGTACCGTTAATCTTGTCCTATATTCCCTGGATTACGTCAATCCAACCGCCCAAAGTTGTGGCGGCGACTCGCATTCCAAGCCCATTTCCGAGAGAGGGAGAGAAACGCACACAACAAAGTGTAGACGTGGCGGTGGATAAGGCCGTGGGGCCCATTGGACCTGCATCACTTAAAATTAAAACCAACAAAAGGCCGAAACGTGTCATCACAGTAGGCGCTGGAAGAAGAATAATTACTTTTGCGAGAAGGGTCAGTGGACCCCAACAGAGTGTGGCCTTGTCTAATTTTAGTCGTCCAACTAGAGAATCCGCCGTGATGATTTGATGGACGATGTTAAGTGATCGTCCTTTTTTGGAACATGGCGCTGGTGCGTTACATCTCAGCGTGGAGAAATTTATTTTTGTGTAGTAATGCTAAGAGCTTACTAATTTTTTTTTTTTAACCAAATTCAAAATAAATGAACCTATAAATATTCAGCAGAGGGGTGTATATGGATCGAGTTGGTCCACGGAATTCTTTTTTTGGGTTAAAATTTTATAAGTTAGTCCACGCATACCCAATATCCTTCAAAAACTTGGGTTTGCCCTCAAGTTTATTACTTGTCTCGAAACTCTGTTCATTAGTCTGCTTACAAAAAATCATTAAATTTTGACCCACGAACCCACATGTCGTCCACCCACTTTGTTTGAAAAAAAATTTGATCAATGAAAGTTAAATATACATGAATTAAGCATATTNGTTAATCTTGTCCTATATTCCCTGGATTACGTCAATCCAACCGCCCAAAGTTGTGGCGGCGACTCGCATTCCAAGCCCATTTCCGAGAGAGGGAGAGAAACGCACACAACAAAGTGTAGACGTGGCGGTGGATAAGGCCGTGGGGCCCATTGGACCTGCATCACTTAAAATTAAAACCAACAAAAGGCCGAAACGTGTCATCACAGTAGGCGCTGGAAGAAGAATAATTACTTTTGCGAGAAGGGTCAGTGGACCCCAACAGAGTGTGGCCTTGTCTAATTTTAGTCGTCCAACTAGAGAATCCGCCGTGATGATTTGATGGACGATGTTAAGTGATCGTCCTTTTTTGGAACATGGCGCTGGTGCGTTACATCTCAGCGTGGAGAAATTTATTTTTGTGTAATAATGCTAAGAGCTTACTAATTTTTTTTTTTTAACCAAATTCAAAATAAATGAACCTATAAATATTCAGCAGAGGGGTGTATATGGATCGAGTTGGTCCACGGAATTCTTTTTTTGGGTTAAAATTTTATAAGTTAGTCCACGCATACCCAATATCCTTCAAAAACTTGGGTTTGCCCTCAAGTTTATTACTTGTCTCGAAACTCTGTTCATTAGTCTGCTTACAAAAAATCATTAAATTTTGACCCACGAACCCACATGTCGTCCACCCACTTTGTTTGAAAAAAAATTTGATCAATGAAAGTTAAATATACATGAATTAAGCATATTTTGTATGTATCCATATTTACGTATAAACGTACATATTTTAAATGATAGAGTTGTGTATATGATAAATAGGTGGATAGATAGGGTTATTAACCAAACCGAGTTACTCGAGCTCGGCTCGTGTTCACCTTATTTTTGATTTGTTCAAGTTCAACTCCTGTTCGCCTCATTTTTTGCTCTTCAAGCTCGGCTTGTGTTCGCCTCATTTTTGGCTCCATCAAGTTCGGCTTGTGTTCACCTTATTTTTGGCTTATTCAAATTTGACTTTTTTTTTGAATGAGTTGAACTTGAATAATTTTTTAAACTTGTTTGAAAAACAAGTCTGACAGACTTGATATAAACTTGACAAGTTCTACTCGTTTATATGTAAATACTAAGGCTTGGTTCATTTTGTGCTCGTTCAGACTCGACTCATTTTGAACAGTATTTTATACTCGATTAATAAAATAAGCTTTTTAGGCTTGATTCAAACTCATTCAACTATTAGCCCTATAGGTAGGTGTCAGTCTAGTTAAGATGTGATNTTGGGTTAAAATTTTATAAGTTAGTCCACGCATACCCAATATCCTTCAAAAACTTGGGTTTGCCCTCAAGTTTATTACTTGTCTCGAAACTCTGTTAATTAGTCTGCTTACAAAAAATCATTAAATTTTGACCCACGAACCCACATGTCGTCCACCCACTTTGTTTGAAAACAAAATTGATCAATGAAAGTTAAATATACGTGAATTAAGCATACTTTGTATGTATCCATATTTACGTATAAACGTACATATTTTAAATGATAGAGTTGTGTATATGATAAATAGGTGGATAGATAGGGTTATTAACCAAACCGAGTTACTCGAGCTCGGCTCGTGTTCACCTTATTTTTGATTTGTTCAAGTTCAACTCCTGTTCGCCTCATTTTTTGCTCTTCAAGCTCGGCTTGTGTTCGCCTCATTTTTGGCTCCATCAAGTTCGGCTTGTGTTCACCTTATTTTTGGCTTATTCAAATTTGACTTTTTTTTTGAATGAGTTGAACTTGAATAATTTTTTAAACTTGTTTGAAAAACAAGTCTGACAGACTTGATATAAACTTGACAAGTTCTACTCGTTTATATGTAAATACTAAGGCTTGGTTCATTTTGTGCTCGTTCAGACTCGACTCATTTTGAACAGTATTTTATACTCGATTAATAAAATAAGCTTTTTAGGCTTGATTCAAACTCATTCAACTATTAGCCCTATAGGTAGGTGTCAGTCTAGTTAAGATGTGATCATTCTATTGTAACACAATTTCTCTCATATTTATAAATAAAATTATTCATTATATTTTTTTTGTCCATTTTAACTCTACTTTAAATTTTAAAATATAATTTACAAAAATACTAAATTAATTTTTTTAAAATGAAGATAGGGGATGAGTTGAGTTGGATTGCGGTTATGTATATAAAGCCCGTCTGCAAAACCCTCTCAATAGACCTGTCCAATAGGTGATGAGTTGGATTGCGGATAATCTATTCCTATCAGAAGTCAACCCTGTCTGGTACGCCACCTGGATAAGGGCTTGGAGCTACCTACTCAGACCTGACCTAAAAAAAATACACGGGGCNATAGAGTTGTGTATATGATAAATAGGTGGATAGATAGGGTTATTAACCAAACCGAGCTACTCGAGCTCGGCTCGTGTTCACCTTATTTTTGATTTGTTCAAGTTCAACTCATGTTCGCCTCATTTTTCGCTCTTCAAGCTCGGCTTGTGTTCACCTCATTTTTTGCTCCATCAAGTTCGGCTTGTGTTCATCTTATTTTTGGCTCATTCAAATTTAGCTCTTTTTTTGAACGAGTTGAACTTGAATAATTTTTTTAACTCGTTTGAAAAACAAGTCTGACAGACTCGATATAAACTTGACAAGTTCTACTCGTTTATATGTAAATACTAAGGCTTGGTTCATTTTGTGCTCGTTCAAACTCGACTCATTTTGAACAATATTTTATATTCGATTAATAAAATAAGCTTTTTAGGCTTGATTCAAACTCATTCAACTATTAGCCCTATAGATAGGTGTCAGTCTAGTTAAGATGTGATCATTCTATTGTAACACAATTTCTCTCATATTTATAAATAAAATTATTCATTATATTTTTTTTGTCCATTTTAACTCTACTTTAAATTTTAAAATATAATTTACAAAAATACTAAATTAATTTTTTTAAAATGAAGATAGGGGATGAGTTGAGTTGGATTGCGGTTATGTATATAAAGCCCGTCTGCAAAACCCTCTCAATAGACCTGTCCAATAGGTGATGAGTTGGATTGCGGATAATCTATTCCTATCAGAAGTCAACCCTGTCTGGTACGCCACCTGGATAAGGGCTTGGAGCTACCTACTCAGACCCGACCTAAAAAAAATACACGGGACTAACCCATTTAGGCCCATGAACACCACTAGTGATAATTGTGACCCCGCATTTTGTAGAACAATCTCATAGATCATAAACATATATGAGACACACAATGTGACCGAGAAATGTGGAATACATAGATAATAAATTATTATAATTCTTAATAAATTATAGTTCCTCATTCAATTGTCAAAGAAATTATTGAAAACGTATAGTAACTGGACGATGTCACAGTTTTAAAAACTTGTTGTCTGTTACTGTTGAAAATAGTGAGTATCTTATGTCTACTAAGTCTAAAAAATAATAAGTTAATGGGGACGTGCTTTTATCATGAGTATGTTGGTTATCAATATAAATTTGGTAGAAGAGTTTTATTAGAATTGGGTTTATAAAATTTATTAGGTTAAATTATTTAGTTGTACCAAAGTTAGGGTTATTAGCGGATACCNTAACTCTACTTTAAATTTTAAAATATAATTTACAAAAATACTAAATTAATTTTTTTTAAATGAAGATAGGGGATGAGTTGAGTTGGATTGCGGCTATGTATATAAAGCCCGTCCGCAAAACCCTCCCAATAGACCTGTCCAATAGGTGATGAGTTGGATTGCGGATAATCTATTCCTACCAGAAGTCAACCTGTCTGGTACGCCACCGGAATAAGGGCTTGGACCTACCTACTCAGACCCGACCTAAAAAAAATACACGGGACTAACCCATTTAGGCCCATGAACACCACTAGTGATAATTGTGACCCCGCATTTTGTAGAACAATCTCATAGATCATAAACATATATGAGACACACAATGTGACCGAGAAATGTGGAATACATAGATAATAAATTATTATAATTCTTAATAAATTATAGTTCCTCATTCAATTGTCAAAGAAATTATTGAAAACGTATAGTAACTGGACGATGTCACAGTTTTAAAAACTTGTTGTCTGTTACTGTTGAAAATAGTGAGTATCTTATGTCTACTAAGTCTAAAAAATAATAAGTTAATGGGGACGTGCTTTTATCACGAGTATGTTGGTTATCAATATAAATTTGGTAGAGGAGTTTTATTAGAATTGGGTTTATAAAATTTATTAGGTTAAATTATTTAGTTGTACCAAAGTTAGGGTTATTAGCGGATATCATAAATCTAGAGTTCTTGTTCTTGCTTATTTCGTTCTTGATGTTCACTGCAACAGTTTTATTCTCTTCTTGAATTCAAGAATAATAATATAACAAAAAAAAATACAACTAGTGTACTAGAGTGGACGATACCTCAAAAATATTATTTCTTGCACATATTCATGTGGTTCTAGCTTTGACGCCCATTGTATTATTATGAAACATATGACAAGTAAAAACCCTGTTAAATAAGAACCATTTAACACTAATATTAATTTGAATGAAACTGGCGCAAAATTCCCTCGTTTAACATTACTTTCCCTTCTGTACTAGTACTACAAAATCTTTGTAGCAACGACCCTATTTATTTGCCTAGCCAGTCCAACTTAGGTGGACCCACCCACTGATTTCTTACGTTTGTTTTTTTTTTTTTTTTTTTTTGGGGGTGGGGGGCAACACCATGATTACCATCCACTGAATTCAACTTTGTCAATTGCAAAACAGCTGGGCGCTTGTGGCTTCCCACTTCGCCTTTGTAATTTAAGGTTTTGCATCAGAATAGTGCTTTTCCGACTAGAAGTACCCAATAGAATAATGATGCACATGTTATGTAGAAGAACCTTAGTAGTTTGACAAACCCAACTCAAAACACTTGAGCCCTGTACATTAGATAAAGTGGGACTAAAAAGAAAAATTGTTTGAGCAAGTTGTATTATAATTTTAAACCATAAAAGTTGACTAATAGTCTGGAGACTAGGTACAATTGAATCAAATTTTGTGACCTCAAGTCGAGTTTGTCGAATTTATTTTTATAAATAAAACTAAAAAATTATTCATATTCGACTTGTTTAAAAAATAAGCAAAGCCCAAGTGGAGTCAAATTCAAGTAATTCGACTATTTTACATATAAATGAACTGAATTTTTTAGATTTGTTTGTCTAAAAAATTGTTTAAATTTGACTCCAAACTTGAGTTAAGTCCCATCCGAATTGACTTAATTATTAACCTGTATTTAGGACTGAAGCCTAATAAAATTAAGCTAAATCGTGCACAATATTGGGGGCGGGAAACGGATTTTGAGTGCACCGGACGTTGCCCGCCTTGCATTGCACTTGGCGACAAGGGTCCGGTTTCTGCAACTGGCTGGGTCGGGCCGCATAGATTTTTCGGTCACATTCTATCCCAGTTTGATCAGAGGCTACTAGTCAATGGGCTGGTCTCGGGCCAACCTAATATGTGCTTAACGGGCCTGCCCAAATAGGCCTTTTCTTAAAATAATTTCACAATCATACACAAAATTCGAAACAAATATATAACACTGCTGGGGTTGTATTCAACCAAAAGTAATTGGTCTAATATTTTCAAGGGGTGTAAATAATCCCGCCCAATGGGTTTCATTCGGCCCCTGTTCCAACATTATATCAGGCCCTGATAGAGTCCACCCTTCCATGCCCACGGAAAATGGGCAGTGGATACCACTGGCTCAAGTAGAGTGTAAATGGAGGCCCAAGCCCACGACAGACCAACTGTGTTAGCTAAGGTGCATAACAGCACGTGCCACGTGACACGTTTGGGGNTTTTTATAAATAAAACTAAAAAATTATTCATATTCGACTTGTTTAAAAAATAAGCAAAGCCCAAGTGGAGTCAAATTCAAGTAATTCGACTATTTTACATATAAATGAACTGAGTTTTTTAGATTTGTTTGTCTAAAAAATTGTTTAAATTTGACTCCAAACTTGAGTTAAGTCCCATCCGAATTGACTTAATTATTAACCTGTATTTAGGACTGAAGCCTAATAAAATTAAGCTAAATCGTACACAATATTGGGGGCGGGAAACGGATTTTGAGTGCACCGGACGGACGTTGCCCGCCTTGCCTTGCATTGCACTGGGCGACAAGGGTCCGGTTTCTGCAACTGGCTGGGTCGGGCCGCATAGATTTTTCGGTCACATTCTATCCCAGTTTGATCAGAGGCTACTAGTCAATGGGCTGGTCTCGGGCCAACCTAATATGTGCTTAACGGGCCTGCCCAAATAGGCCTTTTCTTAAAATAATTTCACAATCATACACAAAATTCAAAACAAATATATAACACTGCTGGGGTTGTATTCAACCAAAAGTAATTGGTCTAATATTTTCAAGGGGTGTAAATAATCCCGCCCAATGGGTTTCATTCGGCCCCTGTTCCAACATTATATCAGGCCCTGATAGAGTCCACCCTTCCATGCCCACGGAAAATGGGCAGTGGATACCACTGGCTCAAGTAGAGTGTAAATGGAGGCCCAAGCCCACGACAGACCAACTGTGTTAGCTAAGGTGCATAACAGCACGTGCCACGTGACACGTTTGGCGCCAAAAGTACAGTTCCTGCGAAACCAAATTTTTCATGGCGGCTCTCTTCTGGCAACAAGCCTTATGAGCATCCTCACTGTTTCGAAGAACGCCAGTGTTGAACTTATATTAAAATCTTCCTTCAAACCTTCTTGTCCTTTTCTCTTTCTCCGCGAAACCTTTTTCTCTATCTCTCTCTTTCCCTCAATTTAACAATGTTATCTTCAAAAGCAGTAGTTTTGAGACGCAGAACCCAAGCTCCAAAGCCTCTATCCTTGCATAATTTAGCGATAAGGATCTGCAAATCGAAGGGACGCTACAGTGATGTCTGCTGTGAAGAATGTGGGTCCGGCCGGCGACCACGGGGCTGAGCTTCTGCTGTGCGACAAGTGTGACCGGGGGGGTTTCCCCTGTTTTGCCTCAGACCCATCCTTGTGTCCGTGCCCAAGGGTTCATGGCTCTGTCCTTCCTGCTCCGATCAAAAGAAACTCACTAGTATTACATAGGTTTCTTAATTTGTGTGACACGAAATCTCTTGCAACCTATGATAAAATGTAAAGCTATTTTTTTATTTGTAATTAAGGCTCTATTTGTCTTTATACTTGGTTTTTTTTTTTTTCAGCTACAATAATATTTAGCCATGATTCATTCCTTCCCCCTCTCTCTCCCACCCGTTACAGCACGAGGGAAATCTGTATTAGCCCAATCTCAGCCCAGACCAAGACTAGTTTCTGTGCTTGATCATTCATCTTGGTTTCGAGTGTTATTGGGCCTGATCAAAACGGTAAAAACCAGCCCAAACTATTATTCCCCGCCCCTCTTCTGGATGCCCAAATCATAACCCATCTTTTCGTCTTGCAAACTACAAAGATTCAAAGGATCATGGTGATAGTAAAAACAAAAACACCGAAGAAATACCATTACATCTTGTATCGGGTTTGACTTTGGTACTGAACTTTTTTAATGTCGTATTATTTATCACTTTTTTCAAATATAAAATATTCTATTTTGGGCGGATTTTATTAACTTTTGGGGTGTATTAAACTTTTAAATTATCTTACCATTTTTTGAGTTTATTTATTATTTTTTTGGTAGATTTTATCACTTTTTAAGATAAAATTTGTTACATTTTTAATTTAAATTTTTCAGTACGATATGAAAAAATAAACAGTTGATACCCCCCTCGTGTTTCTTCTACCCACTTATGATTGTTATCAATTATGGGATCACCCTATGGCTCTCACAAATGTAAGATGATCCAATTTAGGGACTACACTTGTAACAACAGCTGTCATGCTTGCGCTCTCTCTCTCTCTCTCTCTCTCTCTCACACACACACACGCAGAGGAAGAGGGCGTCAGATTAATTTGGATCAGGTGTATGTAGGTCCACAATATTGGTCACATGATAACTATTTCTTGCATGCGATAGATTTAGATCAGATATGCCCACAAATTGTTGTCCTACTTCAACTTTTCTATGGGTATAACAAGGTGAGGCTAAGCGGGTAAAATGCTCCAACTTCTTCAAAATGATGTCGTTTTGTTTTATTTTTGTGAGTCAGGACTAAGTTGTTTTGAAAAGCATGGGTGTTGTACCATAGAGGATTCCCATCCAAAGCCAGCAGAAAATGACTGTCACCAATGAGTTTTCCTCAAGGGCTCAGATCCCCTCCCTCTATCAAGTGATTTTGAACCTTGTTTCCCTTGTAGATTTTATTAGTATTGTGTTTTATTATTCGGAGCAATGTTATAGGGATCTAATTTAAAGACTTAATTAGAAAACTAATTTCATGCAGTCANCATTATATCAGGCCCTGATAGAGTCCACCCTTCCATGCCCACGGAAAATGGGCAGTAGATACCACTGGCTCAAGTAGAGTGTAAATGGAAGCCCAAGCCCACGACAGACCAACTGTTAGAGTGTTAGCTAAGGTGCATAACAGCACGTGCCACGTGACACGTTTGGCGCCAAAAGTACAGTTCCTGCGAAACCAAATTTTTCATGGCGGCTCTCTTCTGGCAACAAGCCTTATGAGCATCCTCACTGTTTCGAAGAACGCCAGTGTTGAACTTATATTAAAATCTTCCTTCAAACCTTCTTGTCCTTTTCTCTTTCTCCGCGAAACTTTTTTTAGATTTTATTAGTATCGTGTTTTATTATTCGGAGCAATGTTATAGGGATCTAATTTAAAGACTTAATTAGAAAACTGATTTCATGCAGTAANTGTAGATTTTATTAGTATTGTGTTTTATTATTCGGAGCAATGTTATAGGGATCTAATTTAAAGACTTAATTAGAAAACTAATTTCATGCAGTCATTGAATTAATTGTGAATTTTAATGTTAGGTGGAATCCACGTCCAATTCAATAGTTGTATTGAATTGAATTTACAAATTAGATCGAACTAATGTTTTCTTTATTATTTGTTCTGATCTCTAACCCCTTTATCTTTCTTTTCTTAATTTTATACGAGCACTTAACAAACTGTATTACAACATTTTGCCACTTTTCTTGTTCTTATTCTTCCTTTTTCGTGTGTCTTAGCCTTGTCACACAATCAATACAGTTTAGGTTTGGCAAAAGGTATNCTTCCTTTTTCGTGTGTCTTAGCCTTGTCACACAATCAATACAGTTTAGGTTTGGCTAATTTNTAACAAACTGTATTACAACATTTTGCCACTTTTCTTGTTCTTATTCTTCCTTTTTCGTGTGTCTTAGCCTTGTCACACAATCAATACAGTTTAGGTTTGGCAAAAGGTATTTCTCAATAGGAACTGAAAGTTCATAGTTGTAAATCTACTAGCACTACTTTTTCAAACATGTTTCAAGGCCATGGACTGGTAGCTTGGGATGATAGAGGCCCATCATCATCGACCCAAAAATATCAATACATCTTCTCTGTGACAGGTTAAGTAAGTTGGCTTCTATAAGAATTATGGTTCACGCCATGGTACGTGCAGTTTAATGTTATTGGTTCANATACATCTTCTCTGTGACAGGTTAAGTAAGTTGGCTTCTATAAGAATTATGGTTCATGCCATGGTACGTGCAGTTTAATGTTATTGGTTCATTTCTAGGCTTCCAGAAATGTAGAACAAGTGGTCCTTCTCTCAAAACCTATTTATTGAATGATCTTTAGACTATATCCTATGCTAAAATCAAACTAGTCTACTAGCCTCCGGTGTGCGTGGTTGGCCCATGTTTTGCCATAATATATACTCAATGCTTCCGCCTAATTATAGCTAGTTTGTTTTCCCAGATATGTATGCTGGAAGTCAAAGAAATTATGGTGATTCAACTAATCTAGCTGTGATGGATGCAATCATGCATGCGTCTTACTCTCTATATCGGTCTTCCAAACAAATGCTAAATAATGCATTAACCCTATTTTTTTTTTATTTACTTCTAAGATGAAAAAGAAAAAAACTGTCACGTGATTGATAAACGATAGAACAATGTACTAATATTTGCATAACAAACAAAAAATATTCCCTCTAACCTTTTTTCATGTTGCTAATTGTTCACCTATGGTGCGTATTAGTAATCCTATGTAGCTCATACTACCAAGTACCAAGTATTCCCCTTATCTGCCAGTTGCAACCAAAAAGGTTTGTGTCACATCAATGGCCTTCTCACCCCTTTACAATGTTAGAAAAGTCTACCGCACAAATTTTTTTTTTTGGGTGTCTTACTATTGTTATAAATTTTGCGAGAGCTTTAAAAATATTCTTAGAGGGCTGTTTTACACTTTTTTGTACTAATTNATGGTGCGTATTAGTAATCCTATGTAGCTCATACTACCAAGTACCAAGTATTCCCCTTATCTGCCAGTTGCAACCAAAAAGGTTTGTGTCACATCAACGGCCTTCTCACCCCTTACAATTTTAGAAAAGTCTACCGCACAAATTTTTTTTTTGGGTGTCTTACTATTGTTATAAATTTTGCGAGAGCTTTAAAAATATTCTTAGAGGGCTGTTTTACACTTTTTGTAGTAACTTGTGATCGATTATTCTTAATTAAAAATATTAAAATTGATCACAAATTATCACAAAAATTATAATTTGGCCCAATAATATTGTAATTCAAATCTTAAAAATTATAACATGATTCATTATAAACAAACTCAAAAAATTATATCAAAAATTATAAAATTTAAATTNCAAATTATCACAAAAATTATAATTTGGCCCAATAATATTGTAATTCAAATCTTAAACATTATAACATGATTCATTATAAACAAACTCAAAAAATTATATCAAAAATTATAAAATTTAAAGTTAGGATACGAAATTTCCTTTTTGGGTATTGTAATATTGTCCTACAATGTTTGTACCAATGCATTACCAGATAATGACAGAAAAAACAGGTGTGATGGCCATATTTGCAGTGATAAAATCTGGCTTTTGTGCATGCCAACCCACTATCAAGCTCGTAGACATGAATAGAAAACGATGTCTAATCATTTACTTAATCGAGGAAAGGTTTAGATACATGACAATTATTTAAGTAATTAGCATGAAACAGTCAAGCTATATATAGCAACTAAAGATGTCGGCCACCAGAACTCATCCACAAAGACAATTTGATTGGTACTTGGTAGCGCATGTATGAAAATCAAACCCCAACATACCATAAATCTTATACAACTTGGGTCGGTTGCCAATTAATGGAGTAAATTAAGGAACTTTTTATGTGGACAATGCAATACGTCAGCTCTTTCAAACACATATCAACAGAGAGAGAGAGAGAGAGAGAGAGAGAGAGAGAGAGAGAGAGGTTCATCCTCTCTTCACCAACAAACATCTCTTTGGATCCTTTACAAAAGGTACTGTGGGGANAGAGAGAGAGAGAGAGAGAGAGAGAGAGAGAGAGAGAGAGAGAGAGAGAGAGAGGGGTTCATCCTCTCTTCACCAACAAACATCTCTTTGGATCCTTTACAAAAGGTACTGTGGGGACTCACCATCTTAAAACCTGTGATCTGCAATTCCAAATTTTTTTTTTAAAAAAAAGAAAAGAAAAGAAAAAAGATCAATGGTTGGTAGAATATGGAAAGATCCTGCTTGTGCGTGCAAGNACCGAGGAGCCGGACAACATCATAGATGTCATCCATATATGTTCCCTGGATCGCCCCACGTCCAAAGAACTCGAGTCCGACCTCANGGACTCACCATCTTAAAACCTGTGATCTGCAATTCCAAATTTTTTTTTTAAAAAAAGAAAAGAAAAGAAAAAAGATCAATGGTTGGTAGAATATGGTGCTTGTGCGTGCAAGATCCTGCACAATATAAAAAACGAGAACAGATCTCTCCCTTGGTGAACTCGAGTGAGCCAGTTGAGTGACTAAGCACGCTGCTTGGAACAGCCTGCGAGGTCCGGTGGTAACCTGGAACGGCAACGGGAGACCTTGGGGGAGCGGAAGAATGATCTAGTAAGGCTGAAAGAGGTTCCTGGAACAAAGAATAACAAGTTAGAAGGGCGCCGGAGTGTTT